CTCCTCAGCAGTGTCTGGCAATGCGGTGTCCTTCTTTCCTCTTGGGGCTCTCATTCCATCCATACCCAGACCTTCTGACTCCCATTTCTACCCATAACGTTGTAACGTTCTCCAAATGGCAGGCTCACCCTCTTTAGAGGGCAGGCAGAGGCTAAGTCATCTGGTAATTTGATCAGACTTTCTCTTCCCCTCTTTTTCTTCCCAAAGCTGAGGTCTGTCTTTTCTTCATAATGACACAGCACTCCCCAGGAGTGACTGGATCAGGCCCTGGCAGATCGTGCTTACTCTACTTCAAGTACTTAAGTGACATTTGGAAGGAAAGAGTGGGAGAGGTTTCCAGCAAGTGTTCCAAGTCAGGTGTAGAGGGCAGTCCTGACAGGCTCTGGCTCTAGGTAGACACCGCTGGAACGCACTATTCCAGGTTAGCTTTCTCTCTAGAGGTGGAATTGAAGCTGAGCTTTGGGTTCCAGGAAGCTCAAAGGGAGGGCTGATGGGACTCTCTCAGTCAGCAGCTGGTGGGGAATTTCTGAGACTCTGAGTTGATCACTGAAGTGAGAGAACACTTGCCAATATGTATGCTGTCCTGAAACACAGAGAGGAGCAAGGAAGGCTAGAAGCAGTTGAAGAAACTTTCAAGGTAATTTCCGGTTGCAAACTGTTATTTCAGAAACTTGTTATGGCAGACTGGAATACTGAAAATGGTCAGCCATCCACATGAATGCACACTCTCCTGAGGCCATGGCAGCCCGAAGCCCAGGAGGTTCATAACCCACCCTACCCTACCTGGACGTGGAAAGTAGCATCTCAGGGAACATAGCTGGACGCCGATGTTCTTGCAGTAGTACCCGTTGTCTCAAACGTAAAATGGATTCAGCGTTGCTGGCGAGACAGCTTCAACAATGATTAGTTGCACGCATATTGTTTAAGGTTTGGCCTTTGTTTTCTTCACTGCAGGGACTATAGGGACCATACTAGGGGGGCAATCTGTAAATACCTTCTCAGTTAATTAAGGACCCTTCCACTGATCTGTCTGCTCTTCGTTTTAAGTCCAGCACATTCCCTGTAGAAATGCAGAAAAGCAGTGTGTGGTGTCAAGATGGCACAGCATGGCTTCTCCTCCAGGGGTCTTTCTTTATCATCCAAGTGATAACTCAACAGCCGTGGGATGACAATTGGTAGAAGCCGGTGAAATTTATGGCAAAAACACTGCAGAAACTTGATAAGTGCTCTCTTCGGATGTCTTCCAAAAGACTAGTGCTGACGTGGAATGCCATTTCATCTGGATCTGATTCACCTGGAGAGCAGACATCTGTCTTTTGTTTACAGAGAAAAATAAAGACTATTTGAACTTTGGCTCAGACCCAGTGCCCTGGAATTGAAGGGAGTGGACAGCACTGTGGTCTCTATCAGGATAGGGCAGTGGGTTGGGTGTGGAGGACAGGGCTGCAGTGTGCACATCAGGCTGATTGTCACCTCTTACTAGCAATGTGGCTTTGGGCCTTGGCTGTCTTAAACTCTTAGCACTCTGGCTGTTCTGTCTCTAAAGTACCACTTCCCCCAAGGATGTCAGAGTGAGAATGCCTGCCTCAGATTTCAGAATTTCAATGTTTATAGTTTATTTTTTGTAAGTTAAAGAGCTTATGCAAGAAAATGGCAAATTCTACATACAAGAACCAAACAGAAAGGATTCTTTATACTTTAAATGTTAAAATTGGCACTGATAACAGGACTTTGAGCTTCCTTTTTTATTATCTCTGTGTGTTCTTTGTACATGGTATCATACTTGATAAGGACATGCTTATATTTTGTGAGAGTTCCTTCCTGCTCCCTCCTTCCATCTTCTCTACCCTCCCCATCCTGCTAGTCAACTTTGCTCTCCAGAGGTGAAATTTCACCTCTACTTTGCATCAGATGTATACATCGCTTTATGTATTAGCATAAATAGTATAAAACACTAATGAGAGAAAATGTACACTATTTGTCTTTTGGGGACTGACTTAAGTTCAAATTTTCAAAGAAAGAATAAGAAGAAGGATACAGTTTTCAATGTCTTAAAACCAGGATGATTTCTCCACCTCCTTCAAAGGTGGTATCACCTACAAGTCACCTTCTGCTGAATCAGCCAAGACAAGAGAGGTCCCTAATGAGGTAGCACATGGAATGCTGGGCTTTAAATGTGATCTAGATTTGAGGTGACCACATACAAGAAATGGCCTTACTAAAGCCATATTCACACGGATCATGAGATGCACTCTACATGTCAGGGATTAATTCATGTTGAACTTTCAGGCTCATTTCCTGAGGACTCATCAGAGCCATAGTTTGTGTGTGTGTGTGTGTGTGTGTGTGTGTGTGTGTGTGTGTGTGTGTAGAGAGAGAGGGAGGGAGAGGTTGTACAGTAGAGAACCAATCTCACAGTAGGATACACATGCCTTTACAATTTTCTCTTAATTCCAGAGGGAGGATATTGTACAGACCAGTTAGCAAACTCCTAGTATATTATTTTATTTTTTGTCCAGTTTCCTGTGTGCCTATTATTGTAGTGACCAGCCCCCCATTTTAGCAGCCATGACAGGCTAAAATGTGCTTGCAATGACCTTGCTGCTTCTGTCCTGGTCACTAGGAGGTCAGATGCCCTCCTTGTGGCAAGGAGCCAATCAGAAGTTAGCTGGCAGGGCTGTGCTTTACGGCTCTGGGTGTGCTTTATAGACAAGTGCACAACAGTGACGTGCAGAGCATAGCAACTGCCCTTGGATGGCCTATGGGTCATAACACCAAGTTGACCAATCAACACAGGGCAGGTCATCCAAACCTGGAAGCACACCAATCCTGAGACTGTTTCATACCCCTAGACACTCCCCTTATGCTGCCTTTTAAGATCCCTGCTTCAAGGTTGCTGGGGTCTTTCTCCAACCATTCACCAGGGTGGATGGATGAAGGGCCCAAGCTAATGGGTTAGCTCTTTAAACAACTGCAGTAAAAGATTGCTTTTGCATTGAAATGGGCCTCTTGGTGGCTTTGGGGCTCAGAATTTGGGTACAACATTATGAGTCTGTATGTATAGTTGTTCAGGCATGAGCTAAATTCTCCAGCCCTATACACATTAGACATGCCGAATACTTCAGCAGTTGAGATCCGTAGATGTGATTAATCTGATTTGAGATTCTGAAATTATAAGAGGCAATGAAAATCATATTTTTATTATTGATATTGTAAGATTATCAAATCAGCTAGGACTTTGTTTTCAGCAAATCAAAACACTGGTTTTCTTGAGAGCTTTTGGGGAAAAGTCCACCAATATAGCATTATTGAATTCTTTTAGCATTTTGGTGATATATGGACCCATTGGAAATTTATGTGGCTTTTCCTATCAAATATTAATTTAGAACCTTCTGAGTGCCAGCCCCTGAACATGTGGGAAGTGTGATAGATGAGGCTTCTCCCCTGAAGCTCTTGCTCTGTGTTCTTCTCATTTCCATTTCTAAATCAGAGAGTCCCCCAGTCACCAGTCCTCATTATTAAAGTGCATAAAGGTCACAGAATCAAGGAATACACAGTTTAGGAGGCCATGACCAGGCAGCCATCCCTAGGATGCACAGTAGCTCTAGCAAAGGGAGGGAGTGTTTACCCTATTTTCTATTATTCTAAAACTGGAGCATCCCCTCCCTCCAAATATAGCATTTTCCCCGACTAGAGAAATAAACACAATCACTGTATTTGGAAAATTCAGAATAAAACAAGGTTACAAAATAAAACTTGCCCTTAGCCTTCCTATTAGGGATAATTCCAGTAGTTGATCTTGCTCTGTGACAAATTACAATATGCATTTTAGAACCATTGGATTTTTTTTTTCATTTGAAGTATCTTGAACTTTTCCCCAAGATGTTGAGTATTTTCCATGCTGTATATGTTCAGTGACAATAACAGTATTCTTAAAAATAAAAAAATAACAGTATTCTTTACTATGGAGTTAGCAGACTTATTTAGGCAGCCCCTTCCTATTATAGAATTGCTGTCTTGTCTTATGGTTTCCTAGTCAGAAACAAGAATGGGATGAATGGTCTTAAAGTAAAACTTGTCTGTATTAATACTGATTTCCTTAGCACACAGTCCAAGAAAGAAGATTGTTGAGACTACAGTGCTACCGTTTAAAGGGTACCCCTTGAATATAAGCACACATGGAAGTTTATTTGTATCAGCTTTATCGAACTGATTTACCTTTTTATTCATGACCTTTCTTGATGGTATTTATGCCTTGTATCTGAAATTTGTTGTATAATATAATTTTCAAGAGTCAAATAGTTGTCGAACTTCAAAGAAGTAGAAAAATATATAATACGAGTAAAAAAATAACCAAATGTAACTGTTCACTGTCAGGGAGAGAAAGAAGGAAAATAATATTAGTTAATGTCATGTCACAATCCTTGTTCCCAAACAAACTCTCATATTTTAATTGGCCTTTTTATTAAGGCAAGCAAATATATTTCAAATACAGAGCATGGGGTCTCTGTGCCCATATCCCAGAGCACATCAATTGTCTGACTTTATTTTTATTGGAATAGTCTCTGTGCTGCACACAGTAGCTTTTAAGAGGGAATTGTCTGTTCAGTTAATAACACTCCACTTTCACATCGCCTGCAATTGTTAAGAAAAAATACCCCCGTTCGGCATTTTCTCCACATAAATCGTGCAGTTGTTGGGGCCGTACTCTCTATTGTTGCCCGAACACACAAAGCTCTTGGGCAGCCCGTTGGTAAATTGTACCCTGGCTGTCTCCAGCAAGCACTGTTTGGGTTACTTCCAGGTAATTCTACCATAAGTGTTCCAAAGTCCAAAGGAAAATTGGTGACAAATGACAGGGAAGCAACCTGGAAACAAATCTATCAAATCACAAAGAAAGTATTTTCCCCATTTTTTGTTTGTTTGTTTGTTTCTCTCTCCTAAGTTCAGAAGAAGAAAGGAATACATTCTGATCGCCCTGCCCCCACTTTCTTTTCCAGCCCTGTGTGGAGGCCAGGAGAGCTTCCTGTGCTCAAGTGGACTCTGCATCCCGAAGAAGCTGCAGTGTAATGGCTACAATGACTGCGATGACTGGAGTGACGAGGCTCGCTGCAGTATGTGACAGGCTTTGGGGGTTTGGTCTGGCTGGGAAGTGGGTTCTAGTCAGGCGCCTGCCCAAGCACCTAAACCACAGCGCCATCAGTCAAACGCTAACAGCCAGGTGGGCCTTGAGTAGACAGACTGCCATTGCTTTGCCATTCTTAAGTGGGCGGCCAATAGTTTTGTCTCCCCAGAGCCTCCATCCTGGGTTTGTCCCCTGCTCAAAGTCACGTGTTTATCAGGGCCCCTGCGGCTAGCTGTCCAAAGAAACAGCTCAGAGATTAAAATGTTTTTTCACTTGGGATGAGGGTTTGGGTTTATTTTGTTTGGGTGAGGACTTGTGTTTTTGTTTTTAAAACCCCATGAGTATTATATAATGGTCAACTGTTTAGAGGAGTTTTTTTTTTTTAAGGTTATTTATTTACTATGTTCTGTCTGCATGTACGACTGCAGGCCAGAAGAGGGCACCAGACCAGATGGTTGTGAGCCACCATGGGGTTGCTGGGAATTGAACTCAGGACATTTGGAAAAGCAGGCAGTGCTCTTAACCACTGAGCCATCTCTCCAGCCTGCTAGGGGAGGGTTTTTTTTTCTTTTATTTTCCAGTTTAAATTTAGATAAGAAACAAGGTTGCTTCACAAGTCAGTTCCAGGTCCCTCTCCCTTTCCCTCCCCTCCTCCCGTGCCCTCCCCCCCAACTCCCCCCCCCATTATCCCCTCATTCCCCCAGGGAGGGTGAGGCCCTCCATGGGGGTGTCCATAGTCTGTCATTTCATATAGGGCAGGGCCTAGACCCTTCCCCAAGAGTTCAGGGTGAGAGTGCACCTCACATTGTTCTATGGGAGTCCAAAGTCCGTGTGTATACTTGGGATGGGTACTGATCTGCTGCCCAAGGCTCAATAGATTACCTAGGCCTCCTCACTGACACCCGGATTCAGGGTGTCTTGATCAGTCCCATGCTGGATTCCCAGGCTGATGCCTGGGATTCAAGAGTTAACCTTTGTCTGGTCAGCTGTTTCTGGGGGTTAAACCAGCCCAGTCTTAATCCCTTTGATCATCAGTCCTCCCTCTCTGTTACTGGCTTTCTTGAGTTCAGCTCAGTACTTAACCGAGGGGAGTCTGCCTCTTCTTCGATCAGCCACTGAATGAAGTTTCTGCTTCCCAGACACTCTGGGCATAGGATTGTAGGCTGGCACTCCCCAGATCTATGTCTAAAATCCATATATGAGAGAGTACATGCCATGTTTCTCTTTTTGTGACTGGGTTACCTCACTCAGGATGGTTTCTTCTAGTGTCATCCATTTGCCTGCGAATCTCATGATTCCATTGTTTTTTTCTGCTGAATAGTACTCCATTGTGTAGATGTACCACATTTTCTCTATCCACTCTTCGGGTGAGGGACATCTAGGTTGCTTCCAAGTTCTGGCAATTACAAATAAAGCTGCTATGAACATAGTGGAACAGACATCTTTGTTGTATGAATGGGCATCTTTTGGATATATGCCTAAGAGTGGAGTTGCTGGGTCTTGTGGTAGGTTTATTCCCATTTTTCTGAGGAATCTCCATACTGATTTCCAAAGTGGCTGAACCAGTTGGCACTCCCACCAGCAATGGAGGAGTGTCCCCCTTTCACTACATCCTCTCCAGCATACATGATAAAGGTCTTGGAGAGATCTGGGATAACAGGGACATACTTAAACATAATAAAAGCTATATACAGTAAACCAACAGCCAACATCAAACTAAATGGACAGAAACTCAACGCAATTCCTGTAAAATCAAGAACAAAACAAGGCTGTCCACTCTCTCCATACCTTTTCAACATGGTACTTGAAGTTCTAGCTATTGCCATACAACAACAAAGGGGGATCAAGGGGATACAAATTGGGAAGGAAGAGGTCAAACTTTCACTGTTTGCAGACGATATGATAGTTTACATCAATGACCCAAAGAACTCTACCAGGGAACCCTTACAGCTGATTAACACCTTCAGCAACGTGGCAGGCTACAAGATCAACTCAAGAAAATCAGTAGCCCTACTATATACAGATGATAAAAGGGCTGAAAAAGAAATCAGAGAAACATCACCCTTTACAATTGCCACAAACAACATAAAATACCTTGGGGTAACGCTAACCAAACAAGTGAAAGACCTGTATCGTAGGGGAGAGTTTTTTAAAGGAAAACTTTTTATATTAGTGATTCTTAATATTCACGGCCCAGCAGATCTAGGGCTTCTTGCTGGTTTAGGCTTCCCGTCGGTGTTGCTGAGGAGTATTACCCTTTACACTCTCACCAACAAAATCACCCTCCCAAGCACTCCGTTTAATTGCTTTTGTCATTTTGACTGAATTAGCCAGCAGTTTGTTCCCATACTTATTCAGATTTCAGGTTGTTTTGCATTTGCCGAGAAGAAGGGAAACAGTAACCTTGAGAATTATTCTACACCTTCCATACTCTGAGCAGAGCTGAGCCGTTGTGCTGTGCACCAGTTGTTTTAATAGATGTTTTAATCACAGACAGCAAGAGCAGAGCCGTTTCTTTCCTGGGACACTCCCCCAGATCTTTTTTTACATACCAATCCCCAGTCCCCTCTCCCTCCCATCCTCCCACACCCCCATCTGCTCCTCAGGGAGGGTGAGACCTCCCATGAGGGATCACCCCCAGCCTGAGATCCCTTCCTCCACTGAGAGTCTTCTGTTTACCAGGTACCAACTCCTCTCCCTGTGGGAAGGGCTAGGATGCTTATTTGCTGAAATTTTGGGCAGGTAGCATATTGTGGTGTCAGAGAACTGCTTGCCAAAGTGTGGTTTCAGAGTTTTTAAAAAATTTTTGAGTGAAAAAATAAACATTTAGGAAGGCTCTGTGTCAACTTCTTAGACATTTTCAACACATATTGATATAGTAAAAGTGTGAGAAATGCTGCAGTTTAAGTCAATTTTACTTGATTCAATGCTTCTTCAAACTTTTTCTCCTGTGAACACTTACCCTTATTTGTTTATTTTGTACATTACCTAACAGTTGCTGAAATGAAGTTATACTACCTATATTTTGAAAACTTATTTTTAGTAAAACCTTGATTTGTTTTACAACATGGAATTTTCGGGAAAACCTATGCACATAAATTAACATGTAAAACATTTCTGTTGCTTATGTAGTTACATTGAGGACTATTGAAATGTTAGAAGAAACTACTGTGCAAAATGGCCATGGTATGGAATTCCGGAAGGTTCGATTGGATTATGTGTGCTTATGGGAATGCAGTAGACTCTCTTTTGCCTCCTGCTGTGGCCAGTATTGGGGCAGAATTCAAGGTCAGCAGGTGTCTTTACCCCTATGGTGGGCCAGGGTTGGCTTCATCATTTTGTTCTCTGTGGTGCTGAGCCTTGATTGAACTGTCAACACAGACAGTGCTTTCTGTTCAAGTTTTTAAAATGGAATTGAGGGAGTCAATTTTCCTTGCTACCAACCGAATGAGAAGGTATTGCTGTTCTGGAAGGTACCTAACGGTGTCTAGGGAATCGTTTATTAAAGAAGATGGTCACTAGCTTTCATCATATTCATACCTCAGAATGACAAGGTCTGACCCATTGTGAAAATACATCCCTTTAGCAAATGTCTCTGAAAACTCATAGTGAAACACATAAAGCTTGACATGGTACCATTTCTGACTCTCCGATAGCAGCCCCTGTGCTTGAGCATTTGATGTGTGCAGCGACTCAACATGAGTTTTTTGTGACTGCTCCTACTCTCCTGTTGTTACTACACACATGGTAAGAATCATGTGTGTCTGAAGTAAGGCATGTGTGTAAATTAGAATGTCATTACAGCTCCAGGCACTGAGGAGGAGAGAAACGTGGCTGAACAGTCCCTGTGAGAAGCAGAAGAAAATTCTTAGATCAATATTCTAGCAGGCAGAGATCACAATGGCTAAACAAGATAGCAAGTTAAGATGTCCCCTTGCCCTAAACTTGTTTTCTTTTAAAAAGTAGGTTTGTATAGTTTATTGAGTTGTCAATTGTTAAATTCAACAGAAGCAAGAGAAAGGGCTTACCTGGGCTAAATTATCCAGCATTTACCTACAGGATTTGATTAAACTGTCAGTTCAGGAGGGATTATGTACCCCTCTTTTGTTCAAATGCAACAGAGGCTTAGGGGCAATGAAATTTACCAGTGATCAAATTGATAGAAGTGCCAGCAATTGTGAAAGGCACCAAATTTCACATGTTTTCTGTTATGTGTGCTGCCTTTGAATTGGCCTTATCCATACAGCTTAGACTTGGTGAATTACAATTTCTCCTCACTCACAGGACAAGAAAATGTTTTGTTCTGGTTGCTCTAGCATGCCCTGGGTGATAGGTGACCATCTAGCATGCCCTGGGTGGTAGGTGACCATCTAGCATGCCCTGGGTGGTAGGTGAACATTACAGCATCACTGTAAGTACTTCCAGTTGCCTACTGCATAACTTCTCTAATTTTGTCTTGTATGTAAGAAAGCCTATTGTTAAGATTATTCCCAACCAACTGGAACAAGCTCAATTTCACAACAGGGAGGTAGTTTTGGAAAGTTAGGAAGACTTAAGAATTTTCTCACTTTGCTATTCAAGGCAGGCTGTGTCTATAACCTGGGCTTTTCTTAGCATGGGCTCACTGCATTAGCGTCTCCAGGAAGCACTCCCCTCCCAGAAGGTATACTGATTTACTTGTTCTGGAGGTGAGGTTTTTTGCATAACTGCCCAGGTATTCCAATGTGTAGACTCTGGACCAGAAGTAGCTCATGTCTTTTGTTGCCAATGCTCTACAGACTTTGTACTGGATGACAATCTCAGAGAACAGTTGAAGCAGGGGCTGCATATGCTGGCACATGGCAGGTGTTCATACGTATATATGTTGTTTAAAAGCCCCAAAGAGCTAGAGAGATGGCTTAGCAGGAAAGAGTACTCATTGTTCTTGAAGAGGACCCAGATTTTATTCCCAGCACCTACATGGTGGCTTACAACCAGCCGTCATTCCAG